TATGGAACAACAGTTTGCGGCTAGATCCCACCAGACATCGTCATCAACTGGTTATAATTTCTCACCGTTGCATATGTGCGTTGAGGCGGTGGAGACAGTTAGAGTTTCTGAAGGCAGGAGTGCCCCTGGGTGTTGTTCCCTCTCGTCGGGAGTTGGTCACGACAGACGCTTCCCTCACAGGATGGGGGGCAACGTGGAATCGGAGGGGTATTTCCGGGCGCTGGACTCCGATCCAGGCCGCGGAACATATCAACCTGCTAGAACTCAGGGCAGTGTTCTTGGCTCTAAAGTACTTCATGCCGGTTCTGGCAGGCCGCCATGTTCTTGTTCGGTCAGACAATACCTCAACAGTGTTCCATCTGAACCACCAGGGCGGCACGAGATCCCGCAGGTCTCTATGGTTGACTCACGAGATCCTGACATGGTGTCAGCCACGACTCGCTTCACTGAGGGCAGCTCATATTCCAGGAGTGTGCAACCAGACAGCAGATGCTCTTTCCAGGGATCAAGTACATCCAGGAGAATGGAGGCTTCATCCAGATGTAGTGCAGGAGATCTGGCTACGATTTGGAAGAGCAGAGGTGGATCTTTTTGCTTCAGAGATGACCACCCACTGTCGCTTATGGTTCGCAAGGACAGAAGTGTCGAGCCCCCTGGGCCAGGATGCGCTGTCTCACGAATGGCCGAACTGCCTGCTTTATGCGTTTCCACCTACCCCTCTGTTATGGGAGACGTTGCACAGGATCTCCCTGTGCAAGCACAGAGTGTTACTCGTGGCACCACGATGGCCAGCCAGACCGTGGTTTCCTTTGTTGCTGAGACTTCTGACAGGCAATCCATGGAAGCTTCCCCCCAGGAAGGACCTCCTCTCCCAGTTGGAGGCCAGTGTCTGGCACCCGGACCCGGCTCGTCTGCAGCTTTGGGTCTGGCCATTGGGTTAAATCCTTCCCTGGAGCATTGTGACCCTGCTGTTATTCACACAATCTCTAATGCTAGGGCTTCTTCCACACGACAGATTTATGCTTCCCGTTGGAAGCTTTTTTCTGCATGGTGTAAGGAACGGGGGCTCGATCCTGCAACATGCGACATTCCGCGTGTCTTAAGTTTTCTTCAACGTTTACTGGAGGAAGGAAAAGCAGCTTCCACGTTGAAAGTGTACGTTGCTGCAATTTCTGCATATCATGTTCCAGTTGGTGGCTCTTCTCTTGGCTCTCGCCGTCTGAACCCTGCTCGGAATCCTCATTTTCCTGTGTGGGATTTGTCACTCGTACTTGCATTCCTGTGCTCACCCCAGTTTGAGCCCTTGCAAAATGTTGACATTAAATGGTTGTCCTTGAAGACTTCTTTTTTGTTAGCTATTGCTACTGCGAAACGAGTCAGTGAGTTGCACGCGTTGTCTGTTAGTGAACTGTGCTTGCGTTGGTTACCGGATGGCTCCGGGGTGGTTCTACGACCCAATCCTTCTTTTCTTCCGAAGGTCCTTCTTCCTCAGTTCATAAATCAGCATATTGAACTGGCCTCCTTTCAGACTTCTTCAGGGTCCGATTCAAGTGCCCAACTCTTGTGTCCTGTTCGGGCCTTGAAGTGTTATGTGAACTCTACTGTTCAATTTAGACGGTCAGACCAGTTATTTGTCTGCCATGGTGGTGTGAAGAAAGGTGCTCCAGTGTCGAAACAGAGGTTGTCGAACTGGATAGTGGAGACCATTACGCTGGCTTACAAGGCGGCAGGGAGACCACTGCCCTGGAGACTAACTTGCCATTCCACTAGGGCCATTTCATCTTCATGGGCTGTTTTTAGAGGAGTTTCCCTGGTGGATATCTGCACTGCTGCTACCTGGGCTTCTCCATGCACGTTTGCCCGGTTTTATAAGGTCAACGTTGCTGCTCATCATGCCGTTAGTTCTGCGGTTCTTCTGGAACAGCCTTAATTTCATCAGGTGGGTGGCATTCCTCATGACTATGTTGGTATGTGTCATCCATAGTGTTTACACTGCCTCTGGCGGTCAGTAAGAATGAAACAGAACGCTAGTTACGCATGTAACTGTGGTTCTGTGAATTCTGGATGACCGCCAGAGTTCTCTGTCACTCGGAATGCGCGAGAAAGGCGTACCGAGGTAGAGTGCTGAGCTACTGTAGCTTTACCCTCCAGGGCTCAGCATACGTCACGCCACGTGACTTTGTTGGTATATTCTCTCGACCTATCTAGCTGGCGCTGCGATAATCCATAGTGTTTACACTGCCTCTGGCGGTCATCCAGAATTCACAGAACCACAGTTACATGCGTAACTAGCGATCTGTCAGTGCAAGTTGCTTTCTGTTAAAACATGAATTTTAGTCTGGCTAGGCTTAAGCCATGCATGTCTGTGAAACCGGGGGATAGCGTAAAAATGTGACTTAAACCCATTAGCTTGCTAATGAAGATATCTGCGAGTGTCAGTCCTTTTCCATAATATTTACCAACCAAATGATATATGGCCTAGACCAGGGTTTTTATTACTTTTTATTTCCACGGACCCCTAAATATGATGCTCCATAATGATATATAATTATTTTTTACATTATTCTCTGAACTTTTTCACAAACCCCCTAAGGCACCCTGGAGGTCCTCGGACCCTAGTTTGAAAACCCCTGGCCTAAAATCTATCTTAGGGAATCCCTGTAGCTAATTACCTTAGAAGATGATTAAAAACCAAGAAAAATCCATATATAAATCGGGACTTGTCTCCACATATTTTATGTGGGTGGGCCACCTCTTCCTTTTGAGCATGGGACAGTTGTCCTGCCTAGGTCATGTCCCTGACAGAAATGATATTAATTTAAATGCAGATCACCTCATTAAAAATATTCTCCTTGTATTAGAGCTCTGAAGCCCTTTGATACCCTCATTGCGTTCCCGCTGTAGGTAGAAAAGCACAGCCATTTCCTTTGATGTGTCCTGCTAGGCAGTGTTGTGCTGTGGGCTCATAGTAATGAACCGACTCCTGCAGGTGAAGATCTACACAGACGTTGTCATCAATCACACATGTGCATCGGGCGGTGGGGAGAACAGGCACTCGACCTGCGGCTCGTACTTCAATGCCACCCGTGAGGAGTTCCCATCTGTGAGATACTCTGCCACTGACTTCAATGATGACAAATGCACCAGCCGCCATGGAAATATTGAGAATTACCAAGACATTTATCAGGTATAATTTCAAAAGTGATAAAAGGGCCCTTGTAGGGAATGCCATTGGACATAGACAGAAACTGGATTTTTTTATTCTCATCTAGGCGAAGCAATCAAGAGTATTTGAATATTAGTTGGGCTTCATATGATCCACCACAATAATTTTCCATATGTTTACATCAAGGACGATAACTATAGCGATAAAGATATAAGCTGTGTTCTAAATGACGTACTATACACTACTTATGCTCTTTGTAGTCAACCATCTAGTGTATGGTGTAGATGTATGGTGATTTTGTCATCCAGCATCAGAGTCTGTTAGTATTGTCAGTATTTGTTTCTGCAACAGACCTTTCTCACGATTGCAAGTTTATGTCTCGCAATTCTGAGAAAAAAAAGTCAGAATTGCGAAATAAAAAGTCACAATACCGATTTAATTTTGTGGAGGAAACAAGTAGTTAGCCCCTCCCCCTCTAGTATGTAAGTGCATATAGTATAGTATATATAGTATAGAGTGCAACAGTCGGGTTCCGGAACTAAAAATGCCATTCTCGATAGGGAAATTGATTTTTAACGATAACTTAAAAACTGTTAAAGACAGACCTACTGTGTGCTATGAGCTTGTTCATTAATGGTATTTGGCAAAATGGCCAAATGATTTCTCTAAAGTACACAGTCATGGCTTTTATCCGTTTTATCCGAAAACATTTTTTATATATCCCTATGGGAGAAATAAATGGAAAAATACTTCAGGAACCAACGCAGCTGAAAAAGGGGGTTGCCACTAATGTACTCAATTAAAGGTGCGAAGGTTGACTCTGAAATCGCATACTTACTATTTTGTAGGCAAAAAAAACTGTACGAGACATAAGAGTAGGCAAAAATGACCTAGATGAACTACTACTTCTGGTGAGATTCTGAAGTGTGCATATAATGGACACTTTACTGTCCCATGAGGCCATGGGAGAAGATTTGTGAATGGCAGTGAAGCGACGCAACTGATGCTGGTATCAAAACAACATGGCAAATGTAGTACGTCCAGATTACTTTCATACTACACACATTCATACTATATAGAACATACTTAGCACTCGCAAAGTAAGTGCTCAAAATATGTACCTACTCAAGAGAGTATGCGATTTCAGACGCAGCCCAAGAAGTGTCTAATATTTCACGCTTAATTTTTTTTTTTTAAATGTAGTGCATCATCCATATAGTTCTTGGTGTGAAGTGAACATGCCTGTTCAATTGATCTTAAACTTACTTTTTTTTTTTTTTTTAAATACCATGGGACAGTGGTTGCTTTGTGTGACCAAAAATGTTTTAAAAGGAGAAAATCTCAAATCTCATGCAATGTCAAGAGCATCATGATTGATCATGAAAACTAATAACATTTGGAGTCCCAAAAATCAAACCTGGTGCAATGCATCTTGAGAAACTTAAATCTCAGAACTACAGACTAAAGTACAATAAACAAATAACAGCTAATCTTCTGAGTCGAGCCAGCCCTGGTCACAGTCTTTCTTGTGTATTGTTTGTGTTTGTCTGAGCTCTGCTGTATTGACAGCACCATCTGTTGCTGTGCTGCTGGAAGATGAGCCGGCTGACTGATAGCGACTTTTAAATTTATTCCCCTTCACTTCAAAGGCACATGTTGTGCGTGCAGAACAATACTGGTACCATTAAACATCAGGATCCGACCTTTTGCAACCTTGAGCGCACAAACAACCCAGATTAATAACAATATTAGACATAAAAGTATACAGTATATAAACAACATTGCTATGAAAGGGGTCTTGAAATTGGGCAGCAGTTTCAATGAAGATGCCAGATGGCAGTATTAATTCCTTTTATTTGACTGTATTGCAAGACCTATCAACAAAATCAGTTCCTAAAAAAAATATATATTACAATAGATGATGATGAACTTCAGCCCAACAGGACTCAGCAGCGGCAGTCTGCAATAAAATAGAAGGGAAAATATGTGAATATTAATAAGATTTATGTGCGACAATGGATTTATTTGATTTTAAGCTGAAGGACAGTGCTGAAGCAGAAAAACATTGCTTGACATTTGGAAGAATTCAGTTATTATTATTACCTATATATTTTTGATAAAAGCAAACAATTTAAATAACTCTTTTAAAGGATATTTTAAAGGATATGAAGTAAAGATGGAGCTCCTGTAGGCTCATGATTGAGGTAATTTGATGCAACATCATCTTAAACAAATAGAAACAAAATCAAGCTTAAAAATCTAGAAGCTAGAATAATAAATATTCAGTACATTTTCACCAACCCACTCCAACATACGGACAGCTTGAAAAATCAATACATATAGTGTTGATCTCAAAGTGATCCTTAACCCACCAGTTTAGTGCTTTTTCCCTCCTTTCTTTGAGTCAGCAGATTCCGGTTTAGGTTTTGCAGATCTGGCGAATTGCTAAAGGTTAAGTTAAGGCGCAATGTTATTTGACAGAAAAACATTTGTAATAATAAATCCTAGGTGAACCTAGACAAAAACCTGTCTAAAAACAGCTTTGATTTGTCTCAAGTGGATTTCTACATGCCTCTTCATCTATACATGTCTGGCAGAGTGTTAATGCAGAGAATGGCTGAAAACAAAGGATACCACCACAAGAGGTCTGTCGTTGAGTATATATCCATTGGTCTCCTTTAAGGCCTTCTCCGCGCTTCTCTCACTGGGGAGTTCGATGAAGGCCTGACCTTTCATCCTCCCCTCTCTCAACAAAACAATATCAAACCTGACGGGAACAAGCACACTAATACATCAGCACATGTTCATGAAGAACTCCCCTTTATTCATCGCTCCTGAGAACAATGTTTGCTTTTCATTGGCTTTGATTGTGATTCGAGGAGTTGAGGCCTCAGACAAGGGCCTGAGGCATCAGACAGTGGTGCTTACATGTTTCTCTCCTCCTCTGAGGAGATGTCGATATACCGGCCATAGATGAACTTCAAATCCTGCGGAAAAGATTGAGCTGGGTTATACATCTGGTACTAAAGTGAGAATTATGAGCTGTCAGGCTGTTCTAGACACATGCTGATGAAGGGAGTAGTGACATCGGTAGCACTTTATTTTACAGTCCTGTTCCGCATGTACATACTATGTACTTATTATAGTAATTACAATAACTGGGTAATAACTAGGTACTGACCCTGAACCTACCCTAAACCTAACCTTAACCCATGTAGTTACATCATATTACCTACCCAGTACTTTCTTAGGTAAGATACATATGTGTATATATACAGTATATATATATATATATATATATATATATATATATATATATATATATATATATATATATATATATATATATATTTCCAAGACTATTATCCAGATACTTACTTTTTTTTCAACTTGCTTTGCAATATTCTTAACGTAAAGTCTGCAGGTTGGTTCTCCGGGTTCGTAATTTTTAAACACAGACATTTTCTTTATCTCTGTAAATGTAAAAGAATCAATAACAAAATAAATCAATACAACAGACATACACAGTCATGTGAAAAGTAAATCTGAAACAAAGTTGTTAAAAGAATGACTGGCTGACTTGAAATAAATACCTGCTAGTAATCACTAGCAAACATCTGAAACATACAAACAGTCATATGATGACAGCCTGGTGTGCTATCAAATATTAATTTCCTCTTTAAAGACCGACTGCATCTTTCTTGTGAACACTCGAAGCCAAATTCTTTAGTAGAGCTTCTCAATTCTATTTGATGTTCGGTGTACTACAAAAAAGAGAGTTGCGTGCACAATTTAAAAGAGTCTTTCACCGTCTCTGGAGAGTCTTGCTCTCTCTAGCTCTCTCCTAGAGATGAACTCCGAGGGGATGTCCTCATCTTCCTCCTTCTCTTCCTCCTGTCTGGGGACCTGAGCGCTTGGGTAGATCTTCCCGAACCCTTCTGAGGCTTCCTGAGCGGAAACCTCCTTCTCTGCCGTGTCTAGGAAAAAGTTGCATAAACATAATTAGAGCGTGTTTTGAACTGTCACGGTGCTCAATTCCAATCTGTTTGTGAAAGGCTGCCTGTTGCAGATTTCAATGATGACAAGTGAAAGGCGGCATCGAAGTCTTGTGTGAACACGCATCAAAACGACAAGCCTTTGACTCTTCAAAACAAACTAGAAAGCACAGGACTGTTTTCTTGTCATGCAGAAAAGCAGAATCAATTCCTGTAATCAATAACAAAAGGCACGTAAATTCAGATAAAGTGGAAAATCCAAGCCAGAGGAAAAACAGGCGAGTGTATTAATCTCGGAGGGTGACACTGGTGTGTTTGCGGGGGGTCACGCTCCATGGGGTTCCCTTTCAGGTTCGTTCATAGCGCAGTTGGAGATGTCACCTGGCAGTTGGCAGTAAGCCGTAAGCAAACGCGTATGAGGAATTATGGGAAGCAGCGAGGCTACACAAATCCTCTGGAAACTTGTCTGACAGATCTATAGTGCCTAATGTGTACTAGAGCAGGAAGTGCTGATAAGTTCCCTCAGAGAGGTGGATTTCTTTGACGTTTCTCGTCATTTAAACATCAGTTGAACGCGATTATAATGAAAATAACTACCGGCCCTGTGCTAGTTTCTTTTATAAAGAGGGTTAGGAAAGCTCTTTGATTTTGAAAGGTTTTCATCTCTGTTTTTGGTCATAGTTAATAAATGGAAAACAAACGGGAAGATAAAGTAAACAAAACACCGGGAATCTCACTTTTATTTGCTGTGTCTGCATAGAGTGCCGACATTAAATAATTGCTAAGATCTATTCGCACCGAAAAGTTTAGTGTGCGTTTTATTTTTATTTGACAGTACCGTCATTCCTGATTCCTGAATTAGGTTTGCACAACAATATATTGAAATAAAACTGACATCATAATAAGGCTTAGTGCGATTGTCAAATTGCACAGGCTGCTATTTAAATATATATGTGCTACCGGTTCAGAGAGAACCACGTCATTTACACACGTGTAGTTCATGATACAGTGTCACAGAACAGCTTGGTTAATTTACTGTGAATACAGCTGTTCTGTGAGCTGCATGCGTGTAAATGAGAATACTGCGCTTCACTCAAAATCTGCCAGCACATTTGTTTATTTGTTGGCAACCCGTCAAATTAAAAGCTTTATGGTATGCAGTTTGAAAATGAACAAATTAAGATGTAAATACTACTACTGTAATTGGCTTTGGTAAAATAAAGTTAATTTTATAATTTTTTCTTTAATTTAAAGTACAATGGTACAATGCTTTGAATGGGCCTGAAGACCTCAAAGAGCGACCAGGAGTGTGTGTGTGTGCAATAGGTCCTGGATGTAAGAGGGAGCTTGACCATGGAAGGCTCTGTAAGTAATGGTTAAAATTTTAAACTGCACTCTAAAACTAATTGGGAGCCAATGAAGAGCCTTAAGCACAGGTGTGATATGTGATCTCCTGTTGGTCTTTGACAAAAGTCTTGCAGCAGCATTCTGTACAACTTGCAGTTTGTCCATGGAGGATTTGTTTAAGCAAGTGTACAGTACATTGCAATAATCCAGACGAGAGGAAATAGAAGCATGAACAAGCATCTCCAGCTCTTCTTTAGAAACCACCGATCTAATCTTGGTGAAAAAAAAAAACAGGAACGAACCACAGATTTAACATGACTGCTTAAACTCATAGATTTATCAAAAATGACACCCAAATTTCGCACCACATTGCCGTCCGAGGATGGTAGAGCCCCAATGGCCTGCCTAATCTTTGGAGTAATGTTATCTGGAGCAAAAATCAGCACCTCAGTTTTGTCTGAATTTAGTTGCAAAAAGTTGTCTGCCATCCAATTATTAATGGAGGCTAAGCAATTGTGCAACAAGGACAGTTTATCCAGCCTATCAGGGCTAAAAGATAAATATAGTTGAATATCATCAGCATTACAATGATAAGATATTTCTCCAAAACTAGCAATAATCTTTCCGAGAGGAAGCATATACAGACTGAACAGCAGGGGGCCGAGCACAGAACCTTGGGGCACACCACAGGACAAAGGAGCAGAGTCTGACATATATGGTCCTATGGACACAGAGAAACTCCGGTCTGAAAGATAGGAGGAAAACCAATCCAGAGCTGATCCAGTAATGCCCACAGTTGTTTTCTATCAATCAGAGTGCAGTGATCCACAGTATCAAACGCTGCACTGAGATCTAATAGAACCAGCACAGAACATTTACCCCCATCAGCAGCCATCAAAATATCATTTGAGACCCTAAGGAGGGCAGTCTCAGTTGAATGTTTTTTACGAAAACCAGACTGAAACTTATCAAAGATATCATGTAAATCCAAAACATTATTTAGCTGGTTCGCAACAACCTTTTCTAGAATTTTATAAATAAATGGCAATTTAGAAATAGGCCTATAATTTCTGAATGAAGCTGCATCAAGATTGTTCTTTTTCAAGATAGGCTGAACAACAGCATGCTTAAAACAGCTAGGAACCTGGCCCAGCTGAAGAGATAAGTTTAAAATTGAAACCAAACATGGGCCAAGATGATGTATGGATTTTAAAAGCAAAGATGTAGGTAAAATATCAACAGGGCTTTGAAAAGGTTTCATCGTCCCCACTAATTTAATGATGTCATTCAGAATAATGGGGCAGAAGGAGTCCAATATTGAAGTTCTGTGCTGTTTGACTATATGGGGGTTTGCTGATGGAACAATGCCTGCCCTGACAGCTCTAACCTTGTCCACAAAATAAAGCAGAAAGTGCTTGCAGTCAACATTTGAAAACACAGGGACAATACATGTAGCAGGAGAAACAATGTTGTTAATAGTTTCAAAGAGAGCTTTAGGATTTTTTTTATTGGCAGATATCAGATTAGTAAAGTAAGAGGCTCTAGCAACCTTAATCATTTTGTTTAAGTCCATTAAAAGCTCTAAGATACAGGCGGTGGACTTGTAGCTGAGTCACTTTCCATAAGCGCTCAGTTCTCCGACAAACACACTTTAAGCTGCGAATGGCATCATTCGTCCACGGGGCTGTATTAACGCAAGTACATACATTTTTTAAGTTTTGTTCAAATAGTTCAGCCCTAAAAAGATTTCGCACTTCAAAAAAAGTCTGCCGAGTAAAAATAAATTGTTTACTCGGAAGAATTATTTATTTATTTATTTATTTAATTTGTTTTCTATGCAGATGCACTCCCCAACAAAATCACCCAATTATTCTAGAATTAATAATTCTTTCCAAATAGAGCTTTTCAAGTCATCTGGTGAAACCTATACTTCCTATACTTGTTCATATTGCAGAAAAACTAAATATTCCTATTTTGACGATTTATTGAGTTTTCTTTCCAGTATCGCGGAAAGCCTTATCCCGAATAAAGTTTCAGGGTTATCCTGACACAGGGGAGGGTCTCGGCGCCTCATGGTGAGAGCAGCTCGGTCTGCTGACAGCCCGATACATTAAATCTTCTCTCCAGCTGAGTCACTATTCTCAGGGCTAATTGCTGTGTTAATTGAGCAGGTCCGCTCAGGATGGATGGGTGAACCTGGGGCGCATTTGGTGATGCAGGCGGATAGATAAATGAATGATGGGATAGAAGGAGTGGCGGGGGACCAGCAGCCTTACCTTCAGTCGCATCTGCGATTTGCCGCTCTTGATTCGGTACGGGCCCCTCGAGGATGGTGGACACCTCAGCCGATATATGGAACTCAATTTTTTTCTGTCCTAGCATCTGAGGTTGCTCGAACACGTCTGCTGGCCGCAGGGCTGGGCCTGAGGGTCTGAGAGATACAACATTGACCTATCAGCAAATCTCTTTGTATTATTGAAGGTGGTCTTTTGAAACTATAAGGCGTTGTTTAATTTTACTTAATTATAAAGAAGCTTATGGCTGTGTGAAATGCAGCTGAGAGTTTACCCGTGGGAATCCGGTTTGGGAATAAACAGGAAATCTTTTAGTTTGGGTTTCTTTCTCTTGGAAGACGTTTTTGCTCTCAGCGGTCTTTTGCATGCCTGGTTAACAAGGCCCATCAGTCTGATCATCCTTTGTGGAACGCAGGGAGAAGAAGTGTGAAGCTATTAAACATGTATGGCTTTTGAAAGCAAGGCAAAATACGGCAATGAAACAAACAAACTTAACACTTTGCAGCTTTTAGCTGCTGCCATTCTGGAGGCTGACAATCTGTCATGAGAAAACGTGCCAATGCTGGTGATACTATCACATTTATTTTTAGGAATTTAGATTTTAGACATGTAGCAAGCACAATATTTGTTAGTAATCTGTCTGTCTGCAGGGAAAATGCCCAGAAAGGCCAGAAAAATCTGGTTTGTTTATTATTATTTGTTGATATTTTGATATTGAACATTTAATTGTACATGCTCATTTCTCATATTTTTACATTTAGGACTCTGGTTAAATTATAAATTTGATCATGGAATAATACCGTTCAAAGGTTTAGGGTCAGTATGATTTTTAAATGTTTTTTAAAGAAGACTCATAGTAAAACGAGTAATATTGTGGAAATGCTACAATTTAAAATAACTATTTTCTTTTTTAATATGTTTTAAAATGTAATTTATTCATGTGATAAAGCTTAATTTTCAGCATCATTACTTGTCTGATGTACTTGTCACTACTAGTCTTAAGTGTCACATGATCCTTCAGAAATCATTCATGAAATCATTCAGAAATCATGATTTTCTGCTCAGGAAACATTTGTTATTATTATCAGTGTTAAAAACAGTTGTGCTGCTTAAAATTCCGTGACATAAATGTCTTTATTATCTTGATCAATGTTTTGATCAATTAAATGCATCCTTGCTGAAAAAAAGTATTAATTTATTTAAGACAAAAAAAAACTTACTGACTCCAAACATTTGAAAGGTAGGGTAAAAGATACTGGCCCTTTTAATTTAGCTACTGTATTTTGGCAGTAACTGACCCAAGTACTCAGTAGGGGGTGATAGAGTTTGTTCAAATATCTGTGACATTTAAAGGAATAGATTATGTCATCATATACTCACCCTCAAGTTGTTCCAAACCTGTATGAATTTCTTTCTTCTGCTGAACACAGAAGATGATATTTTGAAGAATATGGGTAACCAAACAGTTAATGGGCCCTATGGAAGTCAATGCGGCACATCAACTGTTTGGTTACCGAAGTTCTTCAAAATATCTTTTTTTTTGTGTTCAGCAGAAGAAAGAAAATCATACAGGTTTGCTATTAACATGTTCAGTTTCTGAGAAACACTGTTAATATTTGAAATGAACCCAAACAAACACACCCATTCCTTCTTTAAATCTCCCTCTTGCTCTCTCTCTCCTCACCCATCATGAGTGTATAGGCCCACTACTGCTGATTGGCTGTGTGATGTGGTGCGGTGCTCGGTTCAATCCACTTTCAACAGCGTTTCTCAGAAATCGCTTACTGCACCTTTAACTTAAACTAACTCTATAGCTATAGAGCCCCATTTGAAAACACTGAAGGCGGCAACACATACTTTGACACATTCAACATACTTTACTACTGATTTTCGAATTCAGTTTGGATACATTTCAGAACACAACTTGCTTGCATACACTGCGCTTCAGACATTATTTTGATTGCACGCATCTACTAATAATGTCAAACCACTTAAACAACTTGTAAATAAAATAGAAAGATGGAAAGCCAGCTACCTCTCTTTATCTTCATCTCCACTCTCATACTCGGATTCTTCTTCACTGCCCGACGCCCCCTCCTCATGCTCCGGCAGTGGAGGGTTCTGTGGGGGGAAGGGTGGGGGCATGGGCGGCAGTGGGCCTGGGGGCATCTCAAACTGAAACGGTGCAGATGAGTGGGTTACACCTTCGTGTTGCTCATCAATATTAGCATAGCACTTATATTGATGGGATTCAGTGAAATGCAAAGCATCAGGGATGAGGTTGACTGAATTCAGGCGATGCCTGACATTACACATTCGTCATCATGAAGCTTGAATTTAATTTAAGATAAGATAAACATTCACAAAAGCGCATATACCAACTCACCATTGGTGGACGAGCGGTCACCGGCCCAAATGGGCTGGGGAGGTTCATCTTATTCATCAAGTGAAGAACCTGTGGAGGAACATGTTCATCTGATGAAGAAAGGAGTGTGTGTGTGTGTGTGTGTTGTTTTCACACACCTGGTGCTGCATATTTCTTGGGCACGAACATTAATTGTGACCCTGGCTCCATATGTAACCCAGATTGCTGCGTTGGAATATATTTAGGCTCAGTGATGGCTCTAAAACGGAGCTCTGAGCAACAGATTTAATGTGTTTAAACAACCAGCCTGTTTCGCAGAAAGCTAGCGCCACCAAAAGGCAGGCCAGGAAATTAAATTATATCATGCTGTTTCACAAAGCGGTGCGGTGTAGCTTAAGGGAACATTTTAAATACATCACTCATCCCTCCCACATGAGCGCGATATTAATACCATCAGAATAATTCCCTCCAAATATTGTGGTTTGATGTTTTAGGGACTGGACTTGATTCAAAGAAATCACATTAGTGCCACTCTGAGAGCTGTGAGAGAACGTTTTCCTGTCTTTTTTTACCTGATATGAACTAAAAACCTGAAAGAGGGAGAGAGATGCTGGTACACAAGAGGCAATCATATAGATGTGCTTGTTTACACATTCCCAACATGAACTGATAAATAAAACAACAGAAAAAGATAGGGGAAAAAAAAATACTTTGTTGTCTCTACTCACTTGAACATAGAACTTGGGTACGCTCAAAAGTGTGTGTGAAATGTTTGTCAAAATTCCACTTGAAGGAGGAGGGTATAAATATTTCAGCGTTGGATTTGTTTGAAATTTCAACCTGCGGGAGGAAAGAAAAAAAGCATACATGAAAAATTGCCAGTCGTTCCAGAAATGCTACCCATGACAAAATCCATGAACATAATGGTGAAGCATAAATATAAGAGCGAGGTACAAATATTTGGCTCTGTTTGGTAAATGCCCACGCCTGTATTCAGGAACGGGTGAGCAGCTACCCTTAGTTAGCTACAGTTAAAGCTACAAGTTACAAACCAAAAGTAACTAATTTTTTTTTTTTTTGTGGCCAACATTTTATAACTACATATTATATTTTTTATTATTTGTTATGATTACAATCAGATTATGTCAATTCTGTAAGAATTTACACACTCTATGTAACTTTGTACCATCATCACTTTTATTATACTACTACTACTCACAGTCACCAATACTGAATATTATTACTATAGAACTTATTATAGGCAGGCAATATTTAAAATATTCATAATGATTTTGCTAGTAATATAAAATTAAGCTTTTAATGTATTCAAGTCTTATAAAGTCTCCATTAAACTAGTTTAATGACCCTTGCCAGTATGAGAGCAGTAAGATTTTAGCAAGATTTTTCATTATAATATTTGAAATAATTACAATTAAAAAAATACCTAATTCCATAATGATTATTATTATTTATTAATAAGTTTGATAATAATAATAATAACAATGAGAATTTAAGTGTCTGCTATTAGATAGAAAATTATATATATATATATATATATACACTGATGAGCAAAAACATTATGACCAGTCACAGGTGAAGCAAATATCGTTGATCATCTCTTGACAAGGGCCAAATTGTTATGGCAAGGCAATTGGGTCAGAGTATCTGTGAAACAGCAAGGCTTGTGGGTTGCTCCTGGTCAGCAGTGGTGAGAATTTACCAACAGTGGTCTGAGGAGGGACAAACCACAAACCGGCAACAGTGTGTTGGACGTCCATGGCTCATCGATGCACGAGGGCAACGAAGGCTGTCATGTCTGGTCCGAGTCAACAGAAGGTCAACTGTGGCAGAAGTCACACAATATTTTTGTGATGGTTATGGGAGGAATGTGTCACAACACACAGAGCATCACACTCTGCTGCGTAGCCATAGACCAATCCTATGTGCCTATGATGACCCCTGTCCAACTTCGAAAGTGCCTACAATGGACACGTAAGGGTCTGAACTGGACCTTAGAGCAGTGGAAGAAGGTCGCCTGGTCCGTTTTCTTTTACATAAAGTGGACGGCCATGAACATGAGCACGGTTTACCTGTGGAAGGGATGGCACCAGGATGCACTGTGGGACGACGACAAGCCGGTGGAGGGAGTGTGATGATCTGATGATCTGTTCTGCTGGGAAACTCTGGGTCCGGCCATTCATATGGATGTAAAAATTGACACGTGTCACCTACCAAAACATTGTTGTAGACCAGGTACACGCCTTCATGACAATGGTGTTCCCTGGTGGAAGTGGCCTCTTTCAGCAGGATAATGCACCCTGCCACACCGCACACATTGTCCAGGAATTTGAGGAACATGATGAAGAGCCCTGGCCCCCAAATTCCCCAGATCTCAATCCACTTGAGCATCTGTGGGATGTGCTGGACCAACAAGTTCAATCCACAGCAGCTTCAGCTTGCAACCTACTGGACTTGAAGAATCTGCTGCTAACGTCTTGGTGCCAGACACCACAGAACACCTTCTTGGGTCTTGTAGAGTCCATGGCTCAGCGGGTCAGCGCTGTTTTTGCAGCACGTAGAGGACCAACAGCATATTAGCCAGGTGGTCATAATGTTTTGGCTCATCTGTATATACACTCACCGGCCACTTTATTAGGTACACCTGTCCAACTGCTCGTTAACACTTAATTTCTAAGCAGCCAATCACATGGCGGCAACTCAGTGCATTTAGGCATGTAGACATGGTCAAGACAATCTCCTGCAGTTCAAACCGAGCATCAGTATGGGGAAGAAAGTTGATTTGAGTGACTTTGAACGTGGCATGATTGTTGGTGCCAGAAGGGCTGGTCTGAGTATTTCAGAAACTGCTAATCTACTGGGATTTTCACGCACAACCATCTCTAGGGTTTACAGAGAATGGTCCGAAAAAGAAAAAACATCCAGTGAGCGGCAGTTCTGTGGGCGGAAATGCCTTGTTGATGCCAGAGGTCAGAGGAGAATGGCCAGACTGGTTCGAGCTGATAGAAGGGCAACAGTGACTGAAATAACCACTCGTTACAACCGAGGTATGCAGCAAAGCATGTGTGAAGCCACAACACGCACAACCTTGAGGCGGATGGGCTACAACAGCAGAAGACTCCACCGGGTACCACTCATCTCCACTACAAATAGGAAAAAGAGGCTACAATTTGCAAGAGCTCACCAAAATTGAACAGTTGAAGACTGGAAAAATGTTGCCTGGTCTGATGAGTCTCGATTTCTGTTGAGACATTCAGATGTTAGAGTCAGAATTTGGCGTAAACAGAATGAGAACATGGAACCATCATGCCTTGTTACCACTGTGCAGGCTGGTGGTGGTGGTGTAATGGTGTGGGGGATGTTTTCCTGGCACACTTTAGGCCCCTTAGTGCCAATTGGGCATCGTTTAAATGCCACGGCCTACCTGAGCATTGTTTCTGACCATGTCCATCCCTTTATGGCCACCATGTACCCATCCTCTGATGGCTACTTCCACCATGTCACAAAGCTCTAATCATTTCAAATTGGTTTCTTGAACATGACAATGAGTTCACTGTACTAAAATGGCCTCCACAGTCACCAGATCTCAACCCAATAGAGCATCTTTGGGATGTGGTGGAACGGGAGATTCGCATCATGGATGTGCAGCCGACAAATCTGCGGCAACTGTGTGATGCCATCATGTCAATATGGACCAAACTCCCTGAGGAATGCTTCCAGCACCTTGTTGAATCTATGCCACGAAGAATTGAGGCAGTTCTGAAGGCAAAAGGGGGTCCAACCCGTTACTAGCATGGGGTACCTAATAAAGTGGCCGGTGAGTGTATATATATATATATCACAGATATATACATACATACACACATAACAAACACACATACACACATAAATACTGTATATATATTACAAACACATATACATCATAATTTAAAAAAAGCATATTTAGCTGTTTAAAATGTAAAAAGTAACATGGATACAGTGAAAAACAAGTGTTACCCACAACTCCAACTCCAAGATCCAACTTTGCAACGGACTTTCCCTCGCAAGCCAAATGCTTTGAATGTCAAGACTCTTTCAAGTTGAATTTGATTGCATGTTCTATCATAGAAACGGTCTGCACCTCATTCAGAGCATCACACCACTGAAAAACACACTTTTCAAGCGACCCTGGTCTGTGCACGAGCTGCTCTGGTGGAATTAAATAAATAAAAATCTGTCACAGCTCCGCTCGTTAAGTGAGGGTGAAGTGCGGGCTCCTTGTGCAAAATTATATCTTAGCCCACGGTCTCTTTATCAAAGGCCACCTGGTGCCACCACATGGCAGGAGCAGACGGGCTGTCACTGCAGAACAGACACTCTGAGACATGGGCCTGTAATTGGACATGAGACGGATGGTGACAGCCACTCGCCAACTTCCTCTCTCCCTCTTTCTCTATTCGCTATGGGCACTTCCTACAGGACTACCAGGGCCTGAACTACTGACACCAGGTACGGGATGTCAACCGAGAGCGTTAGGCTGTCTCAAATCTCCAGTGACATCATAAACACAGTGACACAGTGAGATCGTGAATGCGAGAGGAAGTCAATGTGCTGATCAAACAAACACAGATGCATGTGTACACCTACCCCAGACTGGGAGCAATGCTGTTGTCCATCATAGGAACATTGTGTTGATGTTGTTTTTCTTTCTTCCCCTTTTCAGCTTTAGCACCAGCACCACTGAAACAGAAGGAACACTATTATGGGGGGCGTTTTATTATAAATATAAGCAGTGTTGGGGGTAAGGCATTACAAGTAACGCAAGTTACAAAATCAGATTATTTTAAGTAACTAGTGAAGTAACACTACTTTTACATTTACAACAAAATATCTGAATCACTTTTTCAAATAAAGTAACACGAGTTACTTTGTTTTCCCATTTATTGACTGACACCTCTCCTGTCCCCCATGTTAAGAGAAATTAGAAGTGCGTGCAGAGGTGTTGTGTGCGCTGTGTGATCATGATGGTTATTATAGAATAGATCTACTAAATGTGAGCATGTATTTATCTCTATGCATCTCATTTGCATAAAAACAGATTCAGTATTCCTCAAAATGAATAAAAACAGTGAAATGCAAAATCACAATACGCAAACCTGCCATAATTAAATGTAAATAACACAAACATACTTTATGCATTTAATCTCACTTAATTAATCAATGTTTTTGTTTCTGACAATCAATGATCCAATTCAACCATACCAATCAGCAAAAATGGCTTTAGATAAACATCACATTTGTGTTTTATTTGTTTGTCCTATTTTTCTGCAACCCAGAATGGTAGCACAGCTGAAAGGTTTGTCAGGTGTGCATTTGCATTTCCTTCAGTCTGAGGCTTATTAATTTCACTTTTGGTGTGAAAAGGCCTTTACATTTGCTGAAAATAGAGCTTTTAGTTTTTATTAATATTATTATTACAAAACAAACAAGCAAGCCCAGCCCGGGTGAGGAAAAAGTCATGCTAAAGTATAAAAAGTAACATAATTACTTACTTTTTTAGGGAGTAATGAAATATTGTGATGTATTGGACATTTTCCCAACACTGAATATAAGGGTGTTTCTTCAAATATGGAAAATGTTTGGTCATGTTAACTATCTTAAAACATATTTGTCATAAAAACTAGTTTAACTTGTCTACTAACAATGTTCAGCAGTGTATATACATGCATTATGGGAAAAATTTTATTTTACCTGAAACATCATGAAAATTTTCACATCATTTCTAATTATTAATTGTGTTTAATATGATTATGTGTTGGAAATTATATTTTTAACATTTTTAAAATAAAATAGCAGACTAGTATGTCTTGCTAAGGCTAATTTCATAGCTATAATTTTGTGTATTCTTAGATCCTATAAATATTTTCACTATTTTTTGGCATAAATTAAAAAGAAAAATACAGATTGATTAGAAATGACACACAACAAAAATATTTGTTTTTAACCTATATTTACCAAAATTTTTTCTTCACACATTACAAGTCTCATTTTACATCAAATTGTCGTAACTTTTAATAAAACTTTATTGGCAAAATTGTTGGTCAGAAATAAAATGATGTGTAGTTTTGTAAACAATGTATATAATCTTTGTGAATATTATCAGTGTTTTTAAAATAAGTCAATTGAGTTTTTCCTGACACAAGGATCATGCAAATCTATTCAAAAAAGGCATTTGAAAAGTAGCCAAAATAAATTATTTAAAAGATGAACAAATAAATTTCAAGAAAGTTTTAATGTGAACTATATATAACTAAATTAAATATGCTTGTTTAAATCACCCCGTCACGTAAAAGTGCCCATATTTGAAGAAACATCCATAAACAGTACTGATAAAATATAGAAATGGACGGTTAGCCAATCAGAGACATGTTTAGACAGTGTGTATTAGAGGAGGGGAGGAATAGGAATAGCTGAAAGTCTATTGTTATGATTGATTTTGCCATTTACCTGTTAGACACAGGTGGGTCTTTCAAAACACTGGCATTGTCCTGATCTTTAGCAAACTCAACCACTAGTGTGTGACCAAGGATTCTCAGCTGATGAAGTCTGTTTAGCGCCTGTGGGTGGAGAGAAGCCATTTGGATTACTAACATGTCGAAGCCATCTCTTAAACCACAAGAGGAGCATGTGTATTTTAATTTTACCTTAGAGGCTGAGGTCTGACTGCTGAAAGTTGCAAATGCCATATGCTTCTGCAGACGACAACACAATCAGGACAGCTGTATTTATTCATTGCATCATTTACCCACAGCAATTTGCGACTTTTGTACTTCCAAATCTTACGACTTACTAGTGGTCCCTTGTCTGACAGCGCTCTGACGGAAGAGGCACCAAAATATTTCAGAAGATCCTCTTTCTCATCTCTGTTGAGTTCTCTGGGCAGATGCCGTACGATGAGGGTTTTGCTTTTCTTTGTTTGAACGTCGGCCTCGTCCGTCTCTGCCATGATTCTGCATTCAAAGACAAACAATTAAGTCCATAAGTAAGTTTGTTAGTTCATGATGCAAATGGCATGTGCATCTTTAAAGTGAGCATGTTTTCATTGTTTAGTGAGCCAAAACAAAGACTTGCTGCATTATAAAAGTTACTAGTCACCTTAATTTTGATTTCATGTCCACAGCTTTCCCTTGCACACCAAATTAATGTTTTTAACACCAATATAAATGCAATGTGCATAATACATTTAACCAAATGAATGTTCCCAATCTAAAATAAATAATAATAAATGTCTGCTACAAATTTGACCAATAAATATATTTTTTCTTGAAAAGCCATTATTTGGCAATTATGCTAATTTCCCTCACCACATCCCAATACTGCAACAGCAATACATATAGAGCTGGTAAGTCCCGCCCATCCGTAAAACTCCAAGTGGACTTCTAGGTTGAAAAAGCGTCAATGCAAGTGAATGAGAGAAAATAATTATTTTCTGATCCCGTTTGAATTGTGTCATGAATGTGAACATATGTTGTCTGTGAATTTTTTATATAATTTCTCATGTAACGAGTTTGACAGTATATTGTATAATTCTTTGGCTAGCAGTTGTGGAATAGACATAACGAGAAAGACTACACGTCGCATATGTGACGTCGCAGCATAACACATTTTCCCTCCACAAATCACGGTGCGATAATCTAAGGAATTAGATCGAGATGCCTGTGTGTTTTGTACCCAAATGTCACCATTCAAACAAAGGCATGTTTAGCGGGATCCGTGTGCTAGTGGTGGTGACGTATATCAAACGCGTCGAAAGCAGCGAAGAGTTGTAGTCCACAAAGTGCTCTCACACAAAGTCTAACCGTATGAAAATTCTACCCGCTAAATTGTAGCATTCTTTACACGAAATATTATATAAAAAATTCACAGACAACATATGTTCACATTCATTGCAAAATGCAAACGGGAGTAGAAAATAATTATTTTCTCTCATTCACTTGCATTGACGATTTTTCAACCTAGAGGTCCAGCGGGGTAGGCGGAAGGGGCGGGACTTACCAGCTCTATATCAATCCTGCCCAGACTCATTAAAAACAGCTGAACTGTTTAAAATCTCAACATTATAATAATAAAAAAATAAGTATCATTATTTTTGCTTTGGAATAATAATAATAACAACAACAACATGTTTTCACATTAACGAGAACTTGCGATGGACATAAAATACTGTCCATAAAATAATTGGCTTCAAACTGGTTTCATAAGATTCATCTAGACAGTTATGATGACCTTCATAATTCTATATTAAAATTATATTAAGTACATATATAAATTAAATACAATGCTACGACAATTCAAGAAATTCAATACTACGACAGAGCATTCTTTACTGCAGCGTGTCTGTCCGGAACTGAAGTTACGCATCTATTGTTGTTCTTCAGGGGGAATGAAATCCTGGAAACACAGTATCTGCACAGGGTAAAGAGGACTATTCTTATATCTGATCCTTATCAAAGACTGAAGGATACGTTGAATTTGCATTTAAGGAGTAACAGGCTTAAGATTTTATTCGTAAGTAAACAGTTTAAAAATTAGCAAAAGCAAGTTGAGAGGTTTTGTTGTGAAGCGAGCCTGACAAACATTAGCAGCAACAGAAGACTCGAGTAACGTTACAGATGAACGACCGTTTATGGTTAAAATAAAAAGCAATAAATAAAGCATTGCGCTACTAAAGTAATATAGAGCAGCATAAAGATAATAAATGACACAGTGATGGGTTAAGAGCGAGAGATATGAGACACACATACCCGGTTCAAATTCACCCTCTTCCGCACTAAGTTTGTGGGCGTGTCTAATGAGGTCAGGGAAATCTGATACCTGATTGGTTGTTTGCGGGTCATTTCCTTCACTGATTGGTGCGCAATGGACATCAGTCACAAACGGTCAACTTCCAGAAAACATTTTTTTTTTGGCCAGGAGATGGCACTGCGGGTAACAGAATTAATCATTTTAATCAGCATGTATTCAGTAGACAGAAAGTGTTGAAATTCTAAGTCTATATTAAATTAGCTGTTTAATTTATGTATTCATTTAATTAGTAAAAAAAATTGTATTGTTTGTAAAGTTGCAATATATATTTTTCTAATAATGTTGGCAACTGGATTGAATGGTTGAGCTTTGAATGCGGTGTATTCGTGTCAGTGTGCCAAACACAAGCTGACTTTTATACATGCTAATGGCTTCTCTTCACTCTACTGGTTTTTCTCTGTAATGCTCATACTATGTGGAGATCAGACAAATGTGTGTATGGCTGGCATATAACCAAGCCAAATCTTTGCCCCCCTTCTTCCTTCCTAGTCATACTGCCCCTCTGTCTTCTGAGTCCTACTTATTCAGATTTTTTTTTTTTTTCCATTACACCCCTTTTTCACATTTTCAAGAATCCATATTCAATGAGCTTAAAAGATAAATGTATCGCGTGGTAAGTTGGCAACAGTTTATATTTGCCTAGGGTGGCCTAGCGGTTGCAGATCTGGATTGATTGTCGCCATTGTGCCTTATAAATAACTTTTTTTTTGTTGCCAAATTTCAGTCCCATGACATATTGTCTGTTAGTTTTTCATTTTTGAGTTATGAAAGGTAGTTGCAACCTCATTAGTATACAATTTCAAACTCGATGACAGCTTTTATGAGTTTGTGTTATACTCTGGTAACAGTCACAGAGAAGTGACCCTGGTTTAAGGGCCAACTTAACTTGGAGATCGTCCTCACCATTGTCAGACAGCCTCCAAATTCCAGTGCAAATGAAGTTTTCTTTTTCTTTTTTCTCCTCTGCGGACAACATGGGCATTCCTTACAGGGGGGAACAATGCCCCCTTTCAGTCTGGCCGGCTCTGAAATTTCACAGGTGAAGGGAGGAGCGGAAGGTATCTAATCCCTGGCCTGAACAGCCAGAGCCTGGAGAGAGCAGGGAACGGGACGGCCCGTCTCTGACCACCCTGTCAGCTGGCCCGGCTAGTGACAGAAACGTGTCAAGAAGGAAAGGTTTGTGCCCCATCAGCATTGCCTTGTGAAGCATAAATCATCTACCATGCTGACTACTCGTGGTCGGACAGTACTGTGAACTCTAGAAGCCTGGCGATCATTGTTTGATGGTGACGGATGTTAATGTAAAGTAGTTTGCAATAAAATGTATTTTATACCTAATAACATGGTACATTTTTATTATATTGTGTTTTTTGCAGTATGTTTAAATGGTCCTGTGATGTTATAAATCATTTTTTTTAGATAAAGCATGCAGTCTCTCTCTATTTTTATTTATTTATTAATATTGTATATTTTGCAGCTTATTTAAATGGTCCTGCAGCATTACAAATTAATTTTTGCAAGTAAACCATGTAGTCTTTCTCTCTCTGTTTATTTATTTAGAATTTTTGTTCAGCTCGTTTAAATGGTAATGTAATGTTACTAATACATTTTTGCAGGTAAACCATAGTCTTTCTTTCTATTATTTTCAGTGTTGTATTTTCTGCAGCTCATTTAAATGATCATGTGATGTTACAAATTATTTTTTGTAGTTAACCATCTCTCTCAGTCTCTATATTTATTTATTTAGTTTTTTTTTTTTTGCTGCTCATTTAAATTATCCTGTGGTGTTACAAGTTTTTTTTTTTTGCAGTTAACCTTGTCTCTCTCTATTTATTTATTTATTTATAAATCATGTGGTGATACAAATAGATTTTTGCAGATAATCCATGTGGTTTAAAAATAAAATTCAATATTGTATTTTCTGCAGCTCATTTAATTGGTCCTGTGTGGTTACAAATTAATCTTTACAGTCTTTAAAAAAAATTATGTTATATTGTATATGGTCCTGCAGCGTTAAAAAATATATATTTTTTGCAGGTAAACCATGTAGTCTCACACTATTTTAAAATGAAGGGACAAAATCTATAAATCAAAATTAATAGATTAGCAGTGGTTAATAAACAGTTGACTTTTATTGAATATACATTTTTCTAACGAGCTAAATTAGAGATGACTATTAAAACAAACTGATTCAGAACGGAATCCATATAAGAGTTTAAAAGCCAAGATTGAACTGCACCACTGTGACCATAGACGCACTGCAATGTGCCGTGGGCAGCACAGCAAGTCTGAGTTGTTTGCTAGTAACAAACATTCATTTGGGTGAGGGTGGGTGTGGGGGGCTAGAGATCAGTGTAACAGGCCTGTCTGCAGTAAAAGTGCTTTCTGGATCAACACAAGCAGAGACACTGCATTCCTCGAGCTGTAATTTATATGACAGCTCTGAAACAAGCCCGCTGTCCTTGCTGTAGGCAAAGAGAATCCCAAATGTTCCGAAACAGCCGGAGTCCTATGTCTAAAAGGAAAGTAAATAAACAGATAAACAATTACAAATTTCCTGTTTATTCTCTTTGGGAATGTATGTGTGCTTTCCCCATTTTTAATGGATTCCTGGTTAAGACATTTGATCTGATACAGCATAAAGGGAAGCAGAAGCATCACAGGCTGTTTTTATACAGTTATTTTAAGACGCTTATAAACTTTTATCCTGCCGCTTAGAACATTCTTAAAGGGATAGTTCACCCAAAAATCATCATTTACTCACCCTCAATTTGTTCCAGCAGAACAAAGAAACTCATACAGGTTTGGAACAAATTTAGGGTGAGTAAATTATGACACAATTAAACATTTTTGGTGAACAATCCCTTTAAAGAAGTGCATATGCTTGCTGTTTCTTGCCTTCAACCAAACTTGCATCAAATATGGAATTTTGTGGCTTTTAGTCCATAGTTTTTAGCATACTCCTAAACGTATTCAAAATTGTTTTGTAGCAGATACAGTATGTGCGTTTAAAATTTACAGTCTATTTTATGAAAACTGAATAATAATATTGATGACTCATCACGCACTCAGAGGTGTTTTTGTCCAATACAATTCTCCCTGAAATGACAATGCCTCTAAAAAGAACTACTTCTGATTTAGGAATACCAAATTGCAAATAGTGTTCAAGTGTGATGTAAATTAAAGTTATTAACATGTCTTTGTTGAAAGTGTACGGTTTAATTTAGTAAAACGGCGCAAGTTAAAGCAAAATGACTTTAATTGCTTATAGCACCTTTAAATCACATTGACAATGAGGCTGATGCAGTTACTTCCATTTGCTGTCTTCCTGTCTTTAAAAGTAAAAGGAAATATTTAATCAGAAGTAATTTCACAGAAGAAGGATGCTACATTCTGTCTAAGCAATTCCTTATGTCATTGGGTGCAAGCATCCATCTGCACCACCACTTTCAGATCTCTCCTTATTCTCCATCTTTTTCTAACCTCCTCTCTCTGTCCGTTTCTTTGACTTTCTCTCCAAAAGGCCTTCAGCACCTGCAATGTCTAAACAACATGCTTTTGAGACATGCTTCTACTTGGGGGTTGTTTTGGGTCTCAGTCAGGTTGTAATTACGACAGATGAAACATGTGCCAGTGGAGTGGGTTCGAGTTATCATTTCTTAAATTAGTCCCAGGACAACAGAAAATCAAGTCCATATGATGGTGATATCAGCACAAGCAGATTCCTGAGCAATGTGCCATACAGATGTGAGTCCAATACAATGGGAACAACCTAGCTTTGTGATGCCTTGCTCTGGTTTTGATATGACAAGAGACACTGAAGCTTGTGACAGAATGTGAAGCAGACAGAATTGCAAGACAAAATTGCGAATGGTATTAAAAAAAATCTTTTGTATAGCTGTGATCCTTTTTTTTTTTTTTTTTTTTTTTTTTTTGCAGTTGGTGGGTTGATATACAGCAGATGTACATAATACCAGTGCTCCAGTGTTTTCGGACAGTGACTTTGCTCCAATGTTCAAAGTGATTGTTTTCTAATGTTTCCAGACAGTCACTGCTGGCTATCCTGTGGTTTCAGATGGCACCTGTGCGCCAGTTATTTCAGACAGGATAAGCTACCATTATCCAAGTGTTTATTTTCCAGTGAATTCAAACAGTGACTGTTCTTTTCAGTGACTATTTTGCCAGTGTGAATAGGAATTATAAAATTCCAAGTAAAAACGTGTGATCTGAAGAAACATTTCAAGGTTTTTTTCCTCCCTCTCTCTCTTCACGTACCATCAGTTATGGGAGTTATAAGTCCTGTGGCATCATTCCCTTGATCACAAGAGCTTTGAACTGTGTGGCTTTGACTGAAGCTATCATAAAGCTGTTTTGACAGATCAGCCAGGCTCAAAATGAGTCCTGCATTGACATGTAATATCAGATTAGAATCATTTGGGATGTTTTCAGAAAAGTCTTGCCTCATGCTCACATTACTCGATATGTTAAATGCCTGGCCTTATTCTCATGTTTCAACGTCCCCTTGTGGAGGATTTGAGTCGAGATTGTTAACAAGGAATTTGAGGCAGGGCGCTCCACACTTTAGAAAAATGGGAGATTCACAAATCAAACCATGTCCTTTGGGCTGGGAGGAACCCAGTGTTTTACTCTAGCCCAAAGGACTTTGCAGTTTTCGTTTTGTGAAGTGATTTTGTGGTTATACTCAGAATGCTCATAGACTATGTGATGTACATAATTTGAATTAACCATTTAGATGGAAAGTTCGAACGAGGTTCAATTTACACAACAAAGAAGGGCCTTGTTAGATTTAGAATTGGACAAGGCTGAATTATTAACAAGTAAGGAATACCCTTCGATGCCAAACCCTAACTGCAGCTAATTGCTATAGCGACGTCAGTTATTACTCAACCTAGCAGTGCATAAAGCTTCAAGGTGACCACAATGTTCGTGGATGCGGAGGACTGCTATTTCGGCTCTTGAGCCCCACTAATAAGAGATTTGCTGAGCAGTCTAG